GAACCTTCCTACGATGGAGAAGATAATCCCTCGTAGTGACAAGTTTCAAAGGTGCCTGAAGACGACCTTGAGGTTTCGGAGTCGTTGATGAAAGATGTGGTCCTTGCTGAATTTAGGGATAGGTTAAAAATTCCTGCTCGCATAGACCTAGTCCCAGCAAGGCACAACGTGGTGCAGATACACCGTCTTGGGTACTACGCTTTCTACGCGTACCCTTTCCATGTCGGTTACTCTTTTCCCATCCTCCCCTTGGCCGAGGAGTTCTGCCGCTATTACCGCGTCTGACCGACCCAACTTTCTCCATATATCTATAAACTTATCTGCATGCTTACGAAGTATGCGAAACTAGCCGGGGTCGAGGTGACACTTCGCCACTTAATGCACCTCTTTGCCCCTAGATTTCATAGGGGGACGATGCTACATCTTCGCCACCAGGGTAGCAAATGTCTAGTGGTGAAGATGGACGATAAGGCAAATCACTAGTTTTGGCTCAATTACTTCTACGACAAAACTGAGTACGTGGTGGTCAATGCAAGCGGGTTCCCCGAGGTTTGGAACTATGCCCGTAAGCATGTCTTCCCTTCTCTCTTCTTTTTTTATTATGCCTTGGTTTCGCCTATTTCAACTGTAATTTATATTTTGCTCTCTTTTATTGCAGTCGAGATCGCACCCCCTCCCTTGGTCGAGGACATACATGATTGGTTGATCCGGGTTCTCCCCGACACAGCGGGGATCCGTGAATGGACGGCCTTCCTTAATAAGTTTGGGCATGCGCCTTCTGTGACTGGTGAGTTTACCCGCTTTGAATTTTTATTGCTTTGTGAGGATCGACCTCTAAATCTTTTTTTCTTCTTTTTGCTTTCAGCCCGGGTATCCTCGAGGAGGTCGAGGGCTCCTTCTCTGGCATTCTGCCAGAAGAATACTACAACGGGGTCTGCCCCTATTATGACTGTGGCCAGGCCTGCCCAGCCCTCCCCTTCGATTCAACCTACCATTTCGGCTAGATTGGCTCGATCATCGGCGGCCTTGGTACCAGAGACTCCAGCCTCTCCCTTGCTTCATTTAATAGATGAGTCATCACCGAGCGAGGAAAAGTTGATCCCTCGCAATATGAGGTCGGTGGATGTTGGCGATGGGACGATCTAAGCCGTAGACTCTACCAGGAGTGATTGTTAGTCGGCCACTGCCGTGTTTGAAGACAGTGCGAATCTTCAGACTAAAATCTTGCCATCGACGGAAGCCGCAGAGAGCGTGCCCCTTTCTGATGCCACGTCAGAGCTGGTGGACCGTCCGCCAATGAGAGGGGAAAAGGGTTTGCTGAGGATGGGATCTGATCTTGATCCTGACGAGGTTTGAATGCTGAGCGAGGGGTTTACTCGCGTTGAAGTCAGGTTAGATGGGTCCTCGAGGACCATCGTAGTTCTTATGGATCAGGACTTACTGGTGAATACAGAGAGTGTAGTTTCCTCCTTAGGTCCCCTTTGCTCCGATGTGGAGGGTAGGACCCTCGAGACGTTGGATGATGCCACCCTTTCGACGGGTATAGCCATCCTTAGGGTAAGTTTTTCGATCTTTCTGGTTTTCGTGCCTTGCACTATTTTTTGATTGACTTTGATTTTCTTCCTCTCTTGTTCTTTTTCTTTTCAAACCATAATTTTGTAGATATAGAGTGCTCACCGAGAGGAGAGGCGCAAAACCATTTTTAAGAAGATGGAGTGAAAGTACCGTGAATACTGCAACAAGCACCGCGAGATCTGCAGGCGGTTTGGCGAGAGTGGTAACTTCCAAGCTATGCGGACGAGCTGAAGTAGAAAGATAACGAGTTGATGAGGATCATCCGCAAGTGCAGCGTCCTCGAGGGAGCACTGAGAGAGAAAGAGGAAGAGCTCAAGGTGAGCAAAGGAGTTGAGGCCCAATGTGCGGACCTTCAAGCCCAAGTGATTTCTCTGCGGGCCGAGTTCGAGCAATGTTTGATCAGGGCCGGCATTGAGTGGTGAGGTCGCCGAGAAGACAGTGGATTTGGAGAAGGCCGTGTTGGCTCGGTTAGGGGCGTCGACGAAAGTGGATGCTTTGGAGGCTGCAACCCGCGTCCTTCAATCTGAGCGGGCAAATGATTTAGAGATGGCCAAACTCAGAGAAGAGCGGCTCGAAGAACGGATAGGGGAGCTAGAAAGAGAGGTTTCGAGCCTTGGTGACCAAGTCGTCATTCTTGAGGCCGAGAAGGCGCAATTATCGGCTCAGTCGTCCTCTTCTCACGCTTTTGTTTTCCCTGATGTTCCACGGGATTTATATGAGAAGTGGATTCACGCCGAGGCCCAGCTGGATATATTTAGAGATTTGATGATGGCGCGGAGAGTTCTTAAGGCCGACTTTGAGGATGCTCGCACTAAGGCGCGTGTAGCTCGGATCGCTTGTGGCTATGACCCCGCTACACCAGAGGCCGGTGATGGCGAGGGAGATGTGGATAGGATTGAACAGGACGCTTGGTAATGAGGATGAGTATCCTGGTGGCGATGGCGATGGTGGAGATGGCGCTGCTGGGTTAGGTGGCGAGTAGTTAAATTTCTTTCTTTTTGCTTGTAAATTTTGTACATACTTTTGCGGGCGTCTGTTCTAGCCTTTGTAAAGAATATATGTCAAGTATGAAATGTCATTTTCGTTGTCCGTGTCTGATTCTTTTCCTTCTGTTCGAGCTTGTACGCTTCTTTCTTTTGTTTTGTCGTTTGGCCGCTTTAGTCGTAGAAACTTGATTTATGTGTTGAACGAGGTCGAAACAGAATTTAGTTTTGGTTATGGCCGGGGGCCGGTAGGTTTTAATTCGGACGAGGTCAAATGTAACCTGTACTTAGTTCTAAACGAGGTTGAACGTAACTTTTATTCGATTACGGTCGGGGGCCGAGTGGGTGTTGATTCGAACGAGGTCGAATGTAACCTTAATTTAGTTAACTCAAGCGAGGTCGACTGTAACCTTTGTTTGATTACGGCCGGGGCCCGAGTGGGTGTTGATTCGAACGATGTTGAATGTAACCTTAATTTAGTTAACTCGAGCTAGGTCGGGTGTAAACTTTGTTTGATTACGGCCGGGGGTTGAGTGGATATTGATTCGAACGAGGTAGAATGTAACCTGTACTTAGTTCGAAACAAGGTTGAACGTAACTTTTATTCGATTACGACCGGGGGCCGAGTCGGTGTTGATTCGAACGAGGTCGAATGTAACCTTAATTTAGTTAACTCGAGCGAGGTTGAGTGTAACCTTTGTTTGATTACGGCCGGGGGCCGAGTGGGTGTTTATTCGAACGAGGTCGAATGTAACCTTAATTTAGTCAATTTGAGCAAGGTTGAATTGTAACTTTAATTTAGTTAACTCGAGCGAGGTCGAGTGTGACTTTTGTTTGATTGCGGTCGGGGGCTGAGTGGGTGATGATTCGAACGAGGTCGAATGTAACCTGTACTTAGTTAATTCGAGCAAGGTCAAATTGTAACTTTAATTTAGTTAACTCGAGCGAGTCGAGTGTAACTTTTGTTTGATTGCGGCCGGCGCCGAGTGGTATTGAATCGAACGAGGTCGAATGTAACCCGTACTTAGTTAATTCGAGTAAGGTCAAATTGTATCTTTAATTTAGTTAACTCGAGCGAGGTCGAGTGTAACTTTTGTTTGATTGCGGCCGGGGGGCGACTGGGTGTTGATTCGAACAAGGTCGAATGTAACCCGTACTTAGTTAATTCGAGCAAGGTCGAATTGTATCTTTAATTTAGTTAACTTGAGTGAGGTCGACTGTGACTTCTACTTGGTTGAGGCAACGTTGCTTTGGCCAAAACATGGGTAAACTTCATGCATTTGTGCTTTGTTCATATATATTGGAGAAATTTACATATTTTCCGGGCTGGCATTCTAGTCCCAGTCTGTTTAGTGTCGGTTGGCATCCCAGTCCCAGACTATATAGTCCCTTCATTGGTCGATCTGGAGAAGTATTGAGAGGTTGGGCAATAAACTAACCGTCCCGTGCCTCTGTCCATTCACACTTCAACTTGAAGTGTTCCCCTTGTCACCTCATTAAAAACCTCCCCGAGAAAACCCAATTGGGACAAAACTCAAGTGAGGGGAAAAAGAGTACGACTTGGAGAACACTCTTTCTTAAAAGTTGAAGTACTTGAGGTGGGCGATGTTCCGTTCCAGTTGTTTGGTAGCAGTTTTCCTTCCATTGTTTCTAGTTGGAATGACCTTTGTTTGTTGTTGCCGTGATTTTGTATGGGCCGTCCCAATTTGTTCCTAGTTTGCCTTCCCGCGGGTCTTTGCTTGCTTGTGTTTTGGCTTTGAGCACGTAGTTCCCGACTTTGAGTGGTCTGATCTTGGCCTTTTTGTTATAATAGGTTCTGCCTGTTGTTTTTGGGCGATCATCCTTATGTAGGCGATCATCCTTTGGTTAAATACCACGTTATGTATTTTTTTCTTGCCTATAAATAACTAGCGCATTTTAGTTATTATTTGCGCTTAACCAAAATAAATAGCAAAACTTTCCATAAATTTTTTATTTTTCTTGCATTAACAAATGTCTGGACGTAATGACCAACCAAAGTGCTATTGTGGCGAACGTGTAATTTTGAAGGCATGTTGGTTTGATGGTAATGTTAGGCGCAGATACTGGATGTGTCAACAATTGTTTGAACGTAATGACAGAAATCACTGTATGTTTGAGTATTGGTATGATCTCTGAAATGCAACGGAAAATTACGACAGTGCAGGAGAAACTAAAAGAGGCGGAAGAAGAAAAAAATAAAATGGAAGAGAAATTTAAGTGGTTGGAGCAAAGAATAATAGACGATAGTGACTAACCAAACACATGTATGTGTTAAGTTAGTATTTTATCTTTATGTTTTTCGTGTCATGTATTTTGATTAGTCGTACCGAGTTTAAATTATGTTAAGTTGCTATGTTTGTTTTGCCCAATTGTAGTATTAAAATAACAAAGAAACCAAGAAATAAAAACATAATGCGCATATAATGTAAACCATAAATAAAGTTGCTATTATTTACTAATTGTCATATGTACATAAAATAGAATAAAAATCAATGTGTCGCACAACCTTTATGCTTTAAAGCAACCGCTGACCTCAGGCGCATCCCATCCCGCCCGGCTACACTATCAGGATCATTCTCATCACGTCGTCTCTTTATCGGAAGATGCGGTACAGCATGATCGTCAGTAAGACTGGCAGGCTCGGTAGATAGGGCCGTCGGTCGAGCAATAACCTACAGAATAATAAGATATTTTAGTATATGAAATATATATTAATAATGTACGTGGTAGCTACAAAAAAATTAAAATTTCTTACCATGGTCTCAGCGGGCTCCTGAATATAATCATCCGTCTCAGGCATGTCACTGTCGCACAAAGTGGCCGCCGTGACGGGCGAGGATGATGGCTTCAAAAAAAAATTAGGCTTTAGATATTTTATGACTAATCAATAAGATAAATACAAATATAAATAATAGTAATACAAACTAACCAAATCCTGTGAAAGATCCTCAGCATCCCTCGGTGATGATCCATTACTCAGTCGACGCCCAATATCCACATCCCGTACCGAACGATCATCAGCAACTGTTGATGCCTCTAGAGGGTCAGGAAAATATGCATCCCAATCATGTGAGGTAATGACAGTTCCCGCGATCAACAATGGAGCTGATGAGATCACCTGCGAAGTCCCTGGAGTAAGCCCCAAGCTAAATGACGGCATATCACTAGGAGCATAGTGTGCCTCGGGGTGGTCACCCGGCTGATCAACTCCAACATCCTCAACAGGTGCCTCAATGCCCCCTTGTTGGGGACCACCTCCTCGCCGACCCCCACGACCTTGTGGGACACCCCTACCTCTCTAGGTACGCCTGCCACGTCGACCACGTTCAGGCTGCACTGCTGGCCCACGATGGTACTGCTCTGGCGCCATATAATCAGCCTCGTGTCCTAAGCGTTGGGCTAGCTGCAATGTCCGGGCAGCCAAATCTGTAACCTGCCGGCCATACTCGTGCAAAGCGGCCGCTCCCCCACCGGTATGATGCTGCATCTGCAGTCCCAACCGGTGGACTAGATGTAGGCAAATAGCCTGCACAACATGTAAAATATTAATTACGGAACAGTAAGGTTAACGTTATAACTAAGTATACCAAATAACATACCAGCACCTCATGCCTCTCGAAGTATGGAACGAACCGACCGCCAGCGCGATGAACGGGATTCCCAACGATAAGTCAAGTAATGCTGCGGTACCAGTCGATATACTCATGCTCACCATCCATACGCTCGGGTGGAGGGGGTGGCGGAATCATGTCACGCCGCTGGTCCCAAACAAAGCCTGCTGGACCATCATAATATTTGTTACTGCTTCTGTAAATATCAGATGGCTAAACAAGGAAAAGACGGAAAGCAAGCACTGTTCACCGATAGAAACATAAAATTAAGAAATTAAAGCAAATATTTCGACCCCAACTTGCAAAGAAGGCATTTTGCGTAAAGCAAAGTTGTTGTAGAAAGTTCAGACAATAGAGTTTTATATTTGCAGATTTTAAATTAACAAACAGAAAATTGCATCATGGGTAGATATTACACAAGCAGAAAAGGCTCTAATTACATTCTCTCTTAGTTGAGCCAACAATTAATCCAACAGAAATTAAATTATAATGCCAACGCTATAACTCAACAACTAAATCTTTGAAAATTCAAGTTTCCAATCACTGCATACTTCCCATCTACAAAAGACAACCTCCTTTTTTTTAATTGTTCAAAAGATAACCTCGTATTATTCCAACTTCAAACAAATTAATTACACATAAAAAGTTGAGAATTTTCTTGACCTAAGCAATCAATCCCATTTCTAACATGCAAATTATACATAGACCAGATCAATTCAATAATAATTTGCGACTAAATTGTTCACCATGGTGCAAAAGTGTAAAATCATACTTGCTTTTAGCTACTGGGAGAAGTAATAAAATCTAGTAGTTGACCTATTCTGTTTAAATTGCAAGATTTGCACCAAAAGTTCAACAAAATTAGAGGAAAGATATTTCAGACTGTGAACTGCTGTCTGCTACCTTCAAAACATCTTCTGTTTCTCTCCTTTCACAAATAAATTAATCTTGGCCAAGCATAAACTATTGCCTCTAGGAAAAAATTGTGCATGCAACATTATGAAGCAATATCTAACTTATAGTATCTTGCCATATCACAAAAACCAAATAGCTTTTCACACATTTTTCACTTGATAAGACATCTATATCTTTGTCATATTCCAGCCACCATTTCAATATTTATCCTTGTACTATATGTATCATCTCCGCTCTAATATTTGTTTGGTTAGCCTCCATATAGAGTCAAGTTCACACTTCTCTTCCGGACATCAAGCAATGAATGTGAAACTAAAAGGCCAAAAAGTTTAGCTTAAAGCGTGTGAACAACCATCTGTTTCTACTTGCCCTTTCCACTTGAAAACAAGTACTCCCTCCGTTTCAATTTATGTGAACTCATTTGACTGGGCACGGAGTTTAAGAATAGAGAGAAGACTTTTGAACTTGTGGTGTAAAATGAAGCACATATATTTTGTGTGGCTATAAATCATTGCATAAAGGTAAATTGTTTCCAAATAGGGAAAGAGGTCATTCTTTTTGGCACGGACTAAAAAGGAAATAGGTTCCCATAAATTGAAACGGAGGGAGTATTCTTTTCACAGCAAAATAAAATCTCATCATTTTTAATTAGTAATATATGAAATCTATAATCTCATTATAATGTTCTCCAAACCTAAAGTCCTATCGCCATAACAAGTTGCACTTGTCAAGAAGAGTTTTTTCCTTTCCTCATGTAAATCACTTGAGCTAGAAAGGAGCAAGAGATAGTCCATATGGAAGAGTCTGAAAAGTAAGCAAAGAGTCACTCTGATACTTTCTCCCCTCATCACCTTCAATGGAAAAATCATCTCATCCCCACAGTTATAATCAACTAATCAAAGTCCAAACACTCTTGAAAGAAATATGTTTTCCTGCTTCAACAGAAAACACTAACAATCTCACTGCAGAAAAGTTCTTCGAATCAAATCAACTGATCACCCTTCCTAACAAGAGCTTTGACTCGAGACTGAATGTTCGCATAGGGATGAAATCCCAACTTTGACCATCACATTTCCAGTCAAAACCTTGAAATACACCACAAAGTGCAAATTTATTGAAGGAGAGCTAGGGATGTTTCATGTTGTATAATACGCGTTTCTACTTGAATACTTTCGGTTTTGCAAAGATATCTCTGTTGGAGTACCCAATCATAAATTTGAATCCAAAGTAAAAAAATATATACTATCTTTTCCCTATAAAACCATGTTAAACGTGTGATTTAATCAAGGCCACAGTATGATGCCTATCATCATCCAAAATCTGGTATAAAATTTTCCAAATACCAAGGGGGGATTACCAAGCAATTCAACTTTTCCTCTAGTTGTTGCTAATTGGCAACTAATCCATTGCTTACTGTCAGTATAATCCATTAGTAATCTCCATTTCTCACTAATTTGCAAGCTCTAACACGACATATCACTCAAATATGATAAAACCTTGTGGCAGATTAATCACAACACCACGTCAAATAAAACACACGAATTCAGTAACCAATAATGACACACAGTAAATCATATAAAAGGAAAACAGAGAAGAAGATGTACTATCATAAAAGGCAAAAAACAACAATTTCCACAAAACCTATGTTTTGATTATCATTGGATCATAATCAAAACACATTAGTCTCTCTGCTTCCATTAAATATTGCAAAGGAACAAAAAAATCTTAACGCTTTGAGTTCTGAAACAAATTCTAATTCAAACTCCAAAGCAGAATGAAGCGTAAATCTAGATTTACTTTGTTAAATATATAACATGAGAGGTGCTATATATATATATATATATATATATAATATAAGAGTGAATTGGAATGAGAACTGCACCTTTCTTTGCTGTATAAATAGAACCAGCTGGCGACCCGTGGACCGGACCAGCAATAGATAGAAGACAACAATTCAAGGAGAGGAGCGAGTTGATGTTTATCTGGACATTGTTTATCTACAGCAAGAAAATATGGAAATAACATGGTTGCAGAGCTGTATGAGCATTAATAAAACAACAAAAGCAATTAGAAACTTCACAATAGCTTTAGGATGTAATCAAATTTCATCTTAACTTTTTTAAGAAATTAATAGCAAGTAGTAGTTGAAAAAACTAACCATTATAATTTTCTTACTGCAAAAAAAATATTTGCAGCAAATAAATGACCTCAAAGAGTTTGAGTTAGCTTTCAATGGATCACCTACGGTTAGAAGAAGAAAAGGACCCTTCAACGCATTCGATTCTGATAGTTTAATCACAACCTCTATCGAGAGGGCAAATCGCCATAGACTTAATAGAGAAGAAGCAAGACACCAAAAGAAGTAGAGGTAGAGGCATGGAACAAAGGTGAATGAATAAGTACAAACTGAAATAACACAGTTGAAGTGCAAACTATCAAATATAAAGTTAGAAAATTGGAATTTGTCAATCAATTTCAAGAGCAAAATATAGAATAACTGAACATAGACTATAATTACCTAGTTAATTCCTCAGTAACCTTCAGCAATTGGCGAAGAGCATAGCAATTAACAGCAAACAATTCAGTTCAGTTCCAAAAATGTGAAACCTTCTTGCACCGGTCAGTAAACTTCAAACTTTTTAAAATTCACCACTTTAGAGAGGAAATCTCATCCATGCAAGAGCAGAAACTTTGGAAGGAAGAAATCGTTATGTCATAAACTGCAACTTTCGTGAACAGCTTATATCAAAATTATCATTACGGAGATTATCCAAACTCGCTGACTATGAGATCTTTCGCTGAGGAATTTCGTCAAATATATGGGTGGCATCGAAGTTCTTCCCTCTTTTCCACTATTATTGTCCTAGATAAAAATTTCCAAAGAGCAGAGAAGTACTACACAAAACTCAAAATCCACATACAAATGGGAAATTGGAGAAATTTTGAAACAAATGCAATAGCAAAGGCTAGACGTAGCTGGAGCAAGTAAAAGAAAATATAGAAGATGAGTGACAAAGAGAAAAAAAGTTCCTCTATAACTTGAAATTTTGAACACGAATAAGGCCAAAACTTTCCATGTCGATGAGTGAAGATTTTCGGTGAAGATTTTTGGTGAAGATTTCCGATAAGTTCCACCCAGAGTTCTCTCTCTTTGAAACCCTGTCAGAACAGTAGTGTGTTGATTGGCTGGGGTTAGAGGCCGGGTTGCGTGTCTATGTAGAAAGTCCACCGGATAGTAAAGTATAATGTACAGTGCTCTTTGTACAGCGTGTCATTGCAGTATGGGCCAATATGCAATAAAGTAAAATTTTATGGATTTTTTCGTCAATATGCAATAAAGTAAAATTTTATGGATTTTTTCGTAAATTCACTTGAATCGGAAGCTCCTCCCGATTCTCTCTTATTAAGTGGGCGTTTGGACATAAGAATTGTAAAATTCCAAAAAAAAGTAAAAATAATTTCAAGTGGAAATGGTATTTGAAAAATCAGAGTTGTGTTTGGATATGAAAATAATTTTTGGTTGTTTTTGAAATTTTGTGAGTAATCTGAGTGAAAATTTTGAAAAACAGCTTTTTGGAGTTTTTTAAAATTTTGAAAAATTCCAAAATGCATCTTCAAGTGAAAATCGAAAATTTTATGAACAAACGCTGATTTAAAAAAAATTGAAAAAATAAAAAAATTTCTTACGTCCAAACATGCTCTGATAGTAGTAGTAAGTAATATAAGCATTTTGACTTTTGGGCGACGTGGATGAAGGAATACTTTTAGCTGAAATTTTCTCTTATATTAGAAGCAGCAGTTGGGTTCTTAAGTTGTATGTGTCATCAACATGTCTGTTTGGCCCAAATGCTTCTTTGGCCTTTCACCACAGGCCACAGGCCATGAAAAACGTAAAAATTATACGGGGCGCCCTATTTGGTCGCTCCCATTTAACCTATATCCACATTTTTAAAATTATTTAATCTATACCCTAATTTTAACAACTTCAGACGCCTCCTCTTCTTCCTCCTGACCTATTCGTTCGCCAATAACAGTACCTAACTTCAGACTCAAATGTTTGAAGCTTATACTTTAGTATCTGAAGTATATACCCCATATGTTTGATAATTTTAGCCAAATATCAGAAGTTCATAACCGAATGTGTGAAGTGTATATCAAAATATCTGAAGTTTATATCAAAATGACTGAAGTTCATAGAGAAGTTTGCCCTTGCTTATGAACTAAAGTTTGCGTTATTGCCTTTGCAAGTCTGGCCAAACTTCAGGCCAAAATATATGAAGTTTTGCTTTGATAAGGCTACACTTCAGGCAAAAAATTCTGAAGTTCAAACTTCAGACATACACTATTGAACTGAAGTTTGACCTTGCTTATGAACTGAAGTTTGCGTGATTGCCTTTGCAAGTGAGGCCAAACTTCATGCAAAAACATCTGAAGTTTTGCTACACTTCAGGCAAAATATTCTGAAGTTCAAACTTCAGACATAAATATTTGCTACTTCAGGCCGTATGTCTGAAGTTACGCAAAAAGTGGTACGCTTGTAATTTTTTTGTAAAGCGTGCATAAGTTAAAAGGTGACCAAAAAAGCGGGTATAGATGCAAATGCCCCATGAAAAACCAAAAATCTAAAAAGATATTTATTGCAACTCAGTAAAATTCCAGCGTCCGCAACTCAGTAAAATTTCAATCCTTTGTTCTTATTTTAAAAGCTTTGTTTTCCCGTTTAATCTTTGTTGAAGCCAAGTTGAAATTGTTTTGGGTTGGGTTCTTCGCTGTTGCACCCATGGATGGTCAGTCTACACTTACTAATTCTAGATAAAGGTCTTAATTTGTACTCCAATTTGCCTTCAATTACATTCCTAGATCAAACAAAAGAATTTGGAGAACAGATTGATATTTGTTGTTAGGCTGCAAAAATAAACTGTTGAAACCTTCTGCAGATTCGTCAAACCACATCTTTCTTGTCACTTTCCCTAAATCGAAAAAATTTATACTTTCCCTTCTTCTTCCCTCTAATTTCTAAACAGAAGTAAAGACCGTGAATTTATGTTACTACCAAATAATTTTATAATTTTTGTTTACTTTATTTTTGCTAAACAAGCTTCACATGTAGGGGTGTTCATAAAAACTCGAAAATCCGAACCAAACTGAAAACCAAACTAAACCCACCAAAAAACCCGATACATTTTGGTTTGGTTTGGTTTTGGTTTTGAATTTTAAAAACCGATCAAATTTGGTTTGGTTTTGGTTTTGATCAAAAAATAACTGGAAAAAACGGAATCAAACCGACTATAGGAGTAGCTATTTCAAATTTATTATTACACCTATATATACGTATATTTTTATACAAAGTTTCAAAAATTTTATGGTGAATGTTAATCGTTTGCACTTTTAGTACAGTTCTTTACCTTTATATTCTAGTTTGATTGGTAGTTTTCTTTTCTTAAGTGTAAGATTCCATTTCATGTTAAAAAAAATATATTTTTAATTGAGTCCTTAAATTATTCATCACTATTTGATTCAATTAACATCAATATATTTTAGTAAATAATAGATTTTGTCAAAGGGCAATTGATTTGACAGTGTTACGTTGAAAATGTGGTTGCCGAAATATGTGTTTGGCAGTGTATGTCTTATATTTAAGAAAAAACTGACAAATAACCGAAAAATCAAAAAACCGACAAAACCCGACATAAATCGAATCGAGAAAAAACCGACTTAATTGGTTTGATTTGGTTCTAATATTTGAAAAACCGACTTACTTGGTTTGGTTTCTTTTTAGGAAAAAACCGATCCAAACCGAACCATGAACACCCCTATTGTTATTTATCTGTATTGCTGTAAGTAAATAAAACAGTAATCTTTCTGAAAAATAAAACAGAAAGTTAGTAGAAACAATTCTGAAAAATAATATTCGAACTTCAAAATAATTTTTGAAACGTTGAAGGAACAAATCGAGCCCACTGAATACACAGTGTGTCCTTAAGGAAATTATTCCCCTCAAGTACCCGAGGTCATGGAATATATCCTCCCAGGATAAAACGATTTAACTCACCGGAGTGTTGGTACCAAAAACGCCGATGATCAGCGAACCATTCGATGGCAGCAAAACACACTGGAATTTTAGTGCAGAAGAAGAAGAAGATAATCAGAAAAATTCGTAAGTAAATATTCTGGGATTTGAAGGTCTATTTATAGCCAACTAGGTGATGTTTCTGAAGAGGTTTGCAACCTTTCAGAATAGTCATGGCTGTTGGAACAGGTGTGACCCTCTGAAGAGGTTTGCAACCTTTCAGAATAGTCATGGCTGTTGGAACAGGTGTGACCCTCTGAAGAGGTTTGCAACCTTTCAGAATAGTCATGGCTGTTGGAACAGGTGTGACACTGTTTCAGAACAGCCATGGTTGTTGGAAATTTTTGCGGGAAATTTATAACGAATTTAAATTAATCCGGGAAAGAAAAACGGGCTAGACCGGACCGGGTCACGGGTCATCCCTCCATTTCTTTTCCCACCATTTTCCATTCACACCTCTTTTGTTATTATTTATTAAATAACAAACCCAACAATCCCCCACATGAATGGGAAATGGCTATAAACTTAAAGGAATGCATGGACGTGTGTGTGTTTTACAAACAAAAATTGATTGCATCTGGATAAGTAGGTTTCCCTTTGAACTTTTCGCAGTGAACTTATATCGGATATACTCGGTCAATCGGTAGATTTGATATCTTTGAACCGTCGAGCTTTGTTGTATACCTAGACAACATAAGTCACACAATCAATCCTTAACCATCTATGGTTCTCACGGTTGTATTCGTTTCAGCCATGAACACCGCCTGGTTTCATGAGTGCTTAGAGAATGGGCTTTTACTTTCATTCTCCTTGAAGCGGCTTACACTTCACACTCACATAGGTGATTCCTAAACGTGTAATCCTAAAGACACACTATCTGGTCATATCCTGCCAGACTTAGCAAATCATTAAAAAGCTTTAAGCTTTATTGACTCATCAAAAAAGCCTTAATGCTTTACCTCGTTTTTGAACATTGTCTTCATCACGAGAATGGGTTGAGTTAGTTGACAATGTTGAACCATCATTCATAACTTTGTTTGATCTCTTTGAACCTAGCTCTTGGGATCTCCAGTCTGCTAGGTAGAGTTACCGCCATGATAACTTGTCCTAGGCCTTTAACCCCATTTCCTTTGATGATCTTTCAACCGCCTCTCTAGATAGGCCTTTTGTAAGTGGATCCGACACGTTATCTCTTGACTTTACGTAGTCAATTGTGATAACACCACTAGAGAGTAGTTGTCTAACGTTGTGTCTCCGTCGGATATGACGAGATTTTCCGTTATACATAACGCTCCCTGCCCTACCCATTGCCGCTTGACTATCACAATGTATACATATAGGTGCCAAAGGTTTGGGCCAAAATGGAATATCTTCCAAGAAATTCCGGAGCCATTCAGCTTCCTCACCGGCCTCATCTAAAGCTATGAATTCAGATTTCATTGTAGAACGGGCGATGCACGTTTGTTTGGATGATTTCCAAGACACTGCTTCACCCCCAATTGTGAAAACATATCCACTCGTGGATTTAACTTCAGATGATCCGGTGATCCAATTTGCATCACTATATCCCTCGATCACGGAAGGATATTTGTTATAATGCAAAGCATAATTTTGGGTATGTTTCAGATATCCCAAAACTCGTTTCATTGCCATCCAATGTATTTGATTGGGATTACTTGTAAACCGACTCAGTTTGCTAATAGCACATGCTATATCTGGTCGCGTACAATTCATGATATACATCAAACTTCCCAATACTCCATGTTGTGAGTCACTTTCACCTTCATTCTTTTGAAGTGCATAACTCACGTCAATTGGAGTCTTGGCAATTTTGAAATCCAAATACTTGAACTTGTCAAGTACCTTTTCAATGTAGTGAGACTGTGATAATGCTAGACCTTGTGGAGTCTTGCGAATTCTGATTCCTAAGATCACATCAGCAACTCCTAAGTCTTTCATGTCGAATTTGCTAGCCAACATGCACTTTGTAGCATTTATATCTGCCATACTTTTGCTTATTATCAACATGTCATCAACATATAAACAAACAATGACTTCATGACCTGGAGTATTTTTAATGTAAACACATTTATCACACTCGTTGATTTTAAATCCATTTGCCAACATTGTTTGGTCAAATTTTGCATGC